TCACCCTGCCCGCAGCACAGAGACAGAGCTTGTCAAAGTCACAAACGACATCCTCCTCTATCTATGACCTGGGTTCCCTCTGCCTCCATGTCCCCCTGGTCTCCTTGCTGCATTCAACACAGTTAACCACGCCATCCTCCTCCACCGCCTCTCCTCCCTCATCCACCTTAGTGAGACCGCACTCGCATGGTTCGAGTCCTACTTAACTGACTGTCTCCATTTCATCTCAACAAATTGCTTCTCCTCCCACCCGCCCGGTCACCTCCGGGGCACCTCAGGGCCCTGTATGTGATGTCATCCGCAGATGAGCAATGTAAACTTTCACATGTATGAGGACGACACACAAATCTACTTTGCCCCCTCCAGTACCAAGTCCAGGTCTGCCGATGTTCTATCAGCTTGTCTGGCAAATACGTCAATGCCTGGATGAGTGTAAACTTCCTGTAGCTGAATGTGGACAAGACAGAAGCCATACTCCTTGGCTCTCATCAACGTCTGCACTCCTGCGGATCTAAACTCCTCAACCTCCCTGGGCTCTCCCTCAGACTCCCCGAGCCAGTGCACAATTTTGGCAGTTGATTTCACCACCAGCTCTCCTTCCTCCCCCACTTCCGGTCCCTGACCACGACTACCTTCTGCCACATTAGCCTGTGCTAACCTGCGTGGAGACCACTATATAAGTGCAAGTTGTTGTTGTTGCTGGATTGCCACCAGATAACTAAATAACAAAGCTTTACATTTGACATAGCACCACTCACATGAGGAAGACATCTTAAAGTACCTCACAGAATTCACTGTAAAGTACAGTGACTGTATTTTGTAGAAAAACGTGGCAGCCAATTTTGTGCACAGCAGTGTCCCACAAACAGCCATGGCCAATGAAGGCAGATTGTGAATGGGAAGGAATATGAATGACAATTTAAGTAGGTTGTAGTTTCTTCATTTTTAAAAAACACATGGGAGAAAAGTTGATTTGTACCGAAATTCTTCCACTAGCCTTTCCTTCTCCAGTAAATGACTATGAAAATATCTAGCATCAAATCCTGTAGCTCAGTGGTTAGAGCACTCGCTTTGCAAGCGAGAGACCTGAGTTCAATTCCAGGCACAGGGCGAAACCTTGGGCAAGTTTCCTTACTCCACACGCCTAATAGTAATCCCTCCAAAACCCAAAACAATAATAAATTGGTCATTTTCAATCTACGACTGTTGTGGGACATTGCTGTGCGCAATTGGCTGCCGCGTTCGCCCACAAATATACAGTCAATTCACTTTACAGTATATTCTGTGAAGCGCTTTGGGACGTCCTCCCGACGTGAAAAGCGCTATATCAAATGCAAGGATTATTATTATTATTATATGCAGCTAATAATGCAGATAAATGTAATATTCAAATTCAATATGCAACACTTATATCTATTATTGATCATTCTACAGTGACTTATTTGGGATCCTCAGATGACATTACATTACTGAGGAAATCTTTAACACATTGTTGGCTCACTGCTAATATCGCCATATTTCATTTTGACTGGCTGACTTGTACTGAAGTGAAAGGAAATGAACAAAATATCATCGCGGTACAAGGTTACTCTATTAAAAGCTTCACTCCTGAAGATGGGCAATTATACCAAAAAGTATATAATAATTATAATCTTGCCTTGATATAGCGCCTTAACACGTCTTCTAGACATCTCAATGCTTCACGATTTATACTGTTAAATTAATTAACTGTGTTTTGTGGGTGAAATGTGCCAGCCAATTGCGCATAACAGTGTCCCACATAAGTGACTAAATTAGTANTTTTTTAAGGGAATATTACTCCGGTAAAGGGATCCGTCAAATCGACTAACAACCTGGTTCCTACTTACTGCTAAGTAAACAGAGGCGTGTGGAGTAAGGAAACTTGCCCAACATTTCACCCTGCCCGGGAATTTCTAAAAATGAACTGGAAATAATTCCCTACAGTATAAGTTAGTTATATATCTAACTAATTTATACATTGGTACTTTGAATTCATATAGTCAAGGCTGACACTCCTATACAGTGCTGGAGGTATGTTGCATAGGTGCTGTTCTTTGAATGAGACATTAAACCAAAAGCCTACCTGTTAAGGTGCACATTAAAGATCTCATTCCACTATTTGAAAGAGAAGAACATTTCCTTGTCAACAATTCCCAGACAACATTGGTTGTTCACTTGATGGCTGTTTGTGGTACATTGTTGTGCCAATTGGCTGCCGTATTTACCAACAAATATAGAGTCACTACACTTCCCATTAATATGCTGTAAAATACGTAGAGACAAAATGAAAGGCGCTGTATCAAATGTAAGGATTAATATGTTTTCCACTTTTGTAATGGTAATTTACAGTGACGTATTTTCATATTAGTTCTGATAAGCACTATAAATTCTCTGCCAATAGAAAAGTGTCACCTCAATCAAGAGTTATTTGTTGACATTCCAAAATAGGTGTAAGTGAGTTTATTTGCAACAGTGCAACAATGTCAATTTATAAAATATTTCAAGCAAGAGATTACAAATAAGATGTGGCAACAGGGCTCATGTAGAGCATACAACCCGGAATAGACCAGTTGGGCCGAACGGCCTGTTTCTGTACTGTGTAATTCTATGTAAGTATCAGTTTAGGATCACATTCCCAGATCCCCACCCCCCTCTCTCTCTCTCCTCCTCCAATACATACACCAGCAGAACGCACCTCCCCGCAAGCGTACAAAAACCATTGCAATGGATGGGGGAAGAAAGTTGTGCTGTGGTTCGTCAGGTTGGAATCTCAGCAGAAATTCAGTAAACAATACCCATTTGCTGCCCCGACATGACAGGACGATGGTGCACAGCTTCACGTGGAGCAGTTATCACTGTGGTTCTCCCAATTGCTGGGTAGACACCAAGAAGTCAGTCAGCGAGGGTGAGTGAGTGAAGCCAAGGGGCGTTTGTAATTAATGCTGAGGCTGGTGTCAGCACCTCCTGCCACCCAGGGCCAGGTCAGTGCCCCTCACCCTCTCCCTCAGTGTCTGTGTCTCTCGCCCCCTCCCTCAGTGCCAGTGTCTCTCGCCCTCTCCCTCAGTGCCAGTGTCTCCCACCCCCTCCCTCAGTGCCAGTGTCTCTCACCCCCTCCCTCAGTGCCAGTGTCTCCCACCCCCTCCCTCAGTGCCAGTGCCTCTCACCCTCTCCCTCAGTGCCAGTGTCTCTCGCCCCCTCCCTCAGTGCCAGTGTCTCTCGCCCCCTCCCTCAGTGCCAGTGTCTCTCGCCCCCTCCCTCAGTGCCAGTGTCTCTCGCCCCCTCCCTCAGTGCCAGTGTCTCTCGCCCCCTCCCTCAGTGCCAGTGTCTCTCACCCCCTCCCTCAGTGCCAGTGCCTCTCACCCCCTCCCTCAGTGCCAGTGCTCTCGCCCCCTCCCTCAGTGCCAGTGCCTCTCACCCCCTCCCTCAGTGCCAGTGCCTCTCACCCCCTCCCTCAGTGCCAGTGCCTCTCGCCCCCTCCCTCAGTGCCAGTGCCTCTCGCCCCCTCCCTCAGTGCCAGTGTCTCTCGCCCCCTCCCTCAGTGCCAGTGCCTCTCACCCCCTCCCTCAGTGCCAGTGTCTCTCGCCCCCTTCCCTCAGTGCCAGTGCCTCTCGCCCCCTCCCTCAGTGCCAGTGTCTCTCAGCCCCTCCCTCAGTGCCAGTGTCTCTCACCCCCTCCCTCAGTGCCAGTGTCTCCACCCCCTCCCTCAGTGCCAGTGCCTCTCACCCCTCCCTCAGTGCCAGTGCCTCTCGCCCCCTCCCTCAGTGCCAGTGCCTCTCACCCCTCCCTCAGTGCCAGTGCCTCTCGCCCCCTCCCTCAGTGCCAGTGCCTCTCACCCCCTCCCTCAGTGCCAGTGCCTCTCGCCCCCTCCCTCAGTGCCAGTGCCTCTCGCCCCCTCCCTCAGTGCCAGTGTCTCTCGCCCCCTCCCTCAGTGCCAGTGCCTCTCGCCCCCTCCCTCAGTGCCAGTGCCTCTCGCCCCCTCCCTCAGTGCCAGTGCCTCTCACCCCCTCCCTCAGTGCCAGTGCCTCTCTCCCCCCCCCTCCCTCAGTGCCAGTGCCTCTCGCCCCCTCCCTCAGTGCCAGTGCCTCTCACCCCTCCCTCAGTGCCAGTGTCTCTCGCCCCCTCCCTCAGTGCCAGTGCCTCTCGCCCCCTCCCTCAGTGCCAGTGTCTCTCACCCTCTCCCTCAGTGCCAGTGCCTCTCGCCCCCTCCCTCAGTGCCAGTGCCTCTCCCCTCCTCCCTCAGTGCCAGTGTCTCTCGCCCTCTCCCTCAGTGCCAGTGTCTCTCACCCCCTCCCTCAGTGCCAGTGTCTCTCACCCCCTCCCTCAGTGCCAGTGCCTCTCGCCCCCTCCCTCAGTGCCAGTGCCTCTCGCCCCCTCCCTCAGTGCCAGTGTCTCTCACCCCTCCCTCAGTGCCAGTGCCTCTCGCCCCCTCCCTCAGTGCCAGTGCCTCTCACCCCCTCCCTCAGTGCCAGTGTCTCTCGCCCCCTCCCTCAGTGCCAGTGCCTCTCGCCCCCTCCCTCAGTGCCAGTGCCTCTCACCCCTCCCTCAGTGCCAGTGTCTCTCGCCCCCTCCCTCAGTGCCAGTGCCTCTCGCCCCCTCCCTCAGTGCCAGTGCCTCTCACCCCTCCCTCAGTGCCAGTGTCTCTCGCCCCTCCCTCAGTGCCAGTGTCTCCCCCCCTCCCTCAGTGCCAGTGTCTCTCGCCCCTCCCTCAGTGCCAGTGTCTCTCGCCCCCTCCCTCAGTGCCAGTGTCTCTCACCCTCTCCCTCAGTGCCAGTGCCTCTCGCCCCCTCCCTCAGTGCCAGTGCCTCTCGCCCCCTCCCTCAGTGCCAGTGCCTCTCGCCCCCTCCCTCAGTGCCAGTGCCTCTCGCCCCCTCCCTCAGTGCCAGTGTCTCCCACCCCCGCCCTCAGTGCCAGTGTCTCTCACCCCCTCCCTCAGTGCCAGTGCCTCTCACCCCCTCCCTCAGTGCCAGTGCCTCTCTTACCTGCTCCGCCGCGTACACCGAGCACCTGCCGCTCAGGCCCCGGGCCCCGCCGCTCCGGCTCCACAGTCGCCGTTGGCCTCTCGGTCCCGCCTCCGGGCTCGGGCTCGGGCTGCTCCAGCTCAGCCACACCCCGGCCCCCGCCAGCCCCAGCCCGGCTCCCGCTCCCAGCAGGACGGTGGGGCTCAGACGGCGGCTCTCGAGGCGGGTGACCAGAGACAAACCGCCCCCGAGGAGCGGCCACAGGCGGCTCCGGGCGGCCATCTTCACGGAAGTGCGGCCAAATCTCGCGAGAAGCGAGTGAAGGAGCGGCCACTCAGCTGCTGCTCTGAGTCACTGTCCAACACCAGCACTGTCCCCTCACTGTGTCCCCCACTGGCTCACTGTGTCCCCCACTGGCTCACTGTGCCCCCCACTGTGTCCCCCACTGGCTCACTGTGCCCCCCACTGTGTCCCCCACTGGCTCACTGTGCCCCCCACTGTGCCCCCCACTGGCTCACTGTGTCCTCCACTGGCTCACTGTGCCCCCCACTGTGCCCTCCACTGGCTCACTGTGCCCCCCACTGTGCCCTCCACTGGCTCACTGTGCCCCCCACTGTGCCCCCCACTGGCTCACTGTCTCCCCCACTGGCTCACTGTGCCCCCCACTGTGCCCCCCACTGTGCCCCCCACTGGCTCACTGTGTCCTCCACTGGCTCACTGTGCCCCCCCACTGTGCCCCCCACTGGCTCACTGTCTCCCCCACTGGCTCACTGTGCCCCCCACTGGCTCACTGTGTCACCCACTGGCTTACTGTGTCACCCACTGGCTCACTGTGTCCCCCACTGGCTCAGCCACTGGCTCACTGTGTCTGTCACTGGGTCACTCACTGTGTCACTGTGTCTGTCACTGTGTCACTCACTGTGTCACTGTGTCTGTCATGGGTCACTCACTGGGTCACTGGGTCTGTCACTGGGTCACTCACTGTGTCACTGTGTCTGTCACTGGGTCACTCACTGTGTCACTGTGTCTCTCACTGTGTCACTGTATTACTGTATACATTGCATACACCGTATCACTCACTTTATCACTGTATCACTCACTGTGTCATTGTATCATTCACTGTGTCACTGTATCACTCACTGTATCAATCACTGATACTCACTCATTTAACCACTCACTATGTTACTCTGTCACTCACAGTATTGCTGCTTCTCCTCCCTCCCTCACGAACGTGGCGGCTGTCTGGCAAGCTTTCCCACTGCTTGTCCAGCTAGGACCACCCTACCAGTTAGAATTTGGCTTGCAGGGTTACCAGGAGCTGAGTGAGATGATTCCCTGCCTCCAGTGACTGGGCTGCCCTTCCAGATCCTGCCAATGAGCCAGGCTATCATCAGCAGTGCCCTAAAACACTGCGGCCTGCCTGGCTAAGGAAATGGACAACCAAGACTGCCATAGAGCGCTGGTTTGATTCTTACATTACCAGGCATATCACCTTGTAGCCAGTTCAGCTCCAAGGAGACCCCACCCCCACCCAGAGGATAGTCACTAGTTGGTCATTCAAAATCCAACAAATGAGGTTTGAGCCCTCACTAGGTGGATGGTTGGTATCAGAAACTCCCTTTGAGCTTCCCGGTGAGCAACATATCTCAGCATGAAATACGTGAGAAGAATGCCACCATCTTCCTTTGCGCAGCTTGGACACACATCCCTTCCCATTGAGTGATTGTTCCACCCAATGGAGATGTGGAGATTAAGCAGCAGCTGTTTACCTCTCTGCAGGCCAATCAAGGTGGATTCCAGGTGCTGGATGTATGAACGTGTGTTCACGAACTCGGACTCCAGGTAATGCTTTCCAGCAGCTGTTCAAAGTTCCAACTTCAAGTATCAAAGTTCCTCATCAGCTGTCCAGCAGGCATTTGTTTGCACACAGATCTTGGATTGCCACAAGCTTGACCTGCACTGGGATCCTGCTGTCCTTGAAGGGGGATGAGCATGACCAGAGTGCCCTTCTCAGCCCCCTCTCAGTGCAGCCCTTCAGGATAGGTTCCTGGTTGAAGTTGGTGAAGGGCTGCTCAGATACCAATAGACATGGACTTTCTGTTGGGCACTGAGAACCTCCGTCGGCTGGAATCCAGTTTAATGAAAACAGAAACTGAGATCGCTGCCTAATGCGGTTCCAGCAGGTTCGCCAGACAAATCCGAGTACCTGCAGAATTCCTTATTTACAAATCTCTTCAATCTCTTATTAAAAATCTTGCATATTAGATCCTTTATTTTTGGATGTAAGAATTTCATAGAAATAAATGTTATACCACACCTTTCTGGATGTCAAACACTGATAGAAAGCATTCCCGTCTTCAGTCCTTCATAAAAATCAACATCTCTTCATTGATTGGCCTCAAGAATGAAACATCTTCTAAGAAATGTAGGGCCTACATTTTTAATGATTTAGAATGTGTCACTTGTTAACGAACAGAAATAATATGTTATGATCAAAGCAACATTCCACGCTTATTTCCAAAGTTGGGTTTGCTTCCAGTAATTGTAAATCCATACATGGTACTGTATTATTGAATACTGTTGAACCACAGTTCCCTCTTAAACTATTTTGAAGGTTTTCTTCCACCATATTTTATATTTACTTTCAGCATTAAACTAATTTAAGCACAGATTCCTTTTAAGAATGTTTTAATCTAAAGCTTTTCATTTAAAAGCATATTTTTAAAAATTATATCTTTAATCACTAATGCAGTAACAACGTTTTTCTTCTGAAACTATATGTGGCAATTTAATCACAGATCACATTAAAGTAAAACTAAGAATTGTTTCAAAGCTTAATGCTTTACAGAGATATTTAAATACACCAATTATATGATTTTTTGAAACATCCTTTATAACAGATATTCTCAGGACATGTAATTTTGAAATGAAAGTTTTAGAAGAACTTTAAAATTAATGGGTAGAGACCACATTTGAGACTTAGCTTTAAAACACAACTCTTGACAAAATAAATTAATCTTAAACCCATTCGTCCTCAGATGGTTTCATAGCTTCTTTTTTAAAGTTGTAAAGAACTTCCCTTTAATAAAAGAAATGGACACAAAGTGTTATGTCAAAAATGTTTAAAGCTCAATGTTAAATTGAATTTGAGGACTTACATCTGTTTTCTATATGGTGTATATTGACATTTTACATGTTTTGATTGGTCCTTTATTGCAGATAAAAGCTTTTTATCATTTAATTATATATTGACAAATTGAAGCTCATATAAAAATTCTGACTACAAGTCGGCATTATGCTGTGTTCATCACATAATTGCCCGAAAAAACATCCGTTGAGTTTTTTTTTAAAAAAAGGAAAAATTTACTGAGCTAAACATTATTTTCTATCAGTTTAGGTTGGATTATGTTATTCAATCTAATTTTATAGCAAGAAATCAATCACTATACCAAGATTCTGATGTATTAATACAAAGAAAATAATGATGAGGTATAGTGACCGCAATAACAATAAGAAAATTGCTACAATTGTACGTCCAGGTATCAGCTTGGCTCAGTTGATAGCTTGCCTGCTTCTGATTCAACGGTTGTGGGTTCAAGTACCACATTAGGACTATAAACTCATGGTGTTGGCTGACACTCCAGTGCTTTGCTGGGAATGCACTATATTGTTCTTTAAATGAGATGTTAAACCCGTCTGCCTGTTCAGGTGGACATGAAAGATCCCACCTGTAGCTCAGTGGTTAGAGCACTCACTTTGCAAGTGAGAGACCTGAGTTCAATTCCAGGCAGAGGGTGAAACCTTGGGCAAGTTTCCTTACTCCACACAGAGCCTAATAATAATCCCTCCAAAAAACAAAAACAATAATTAAATTGGTCATTTTCAATCTACGACTGTTTGTGGGACATTGCTGTGCGCAATTGGCTGCCGCGTTCGCCCACAAATATACAGTCAATTCACTTCACAGTGTGTTCTGTGAAGCGCTTTGGGACGTCCTCCTGACGTGAAAAGCGCTATATCAAATGCAAGGATTATTATTATTATTATTATTTGAAAAGAGAGAGTAGACCAACAATCCCCAAGATAATATTGATCATTCGCTTCATTACTGTGTATAAATTGGTAATAATAATAATATTACAATCCTTACATTTGATATAGCACCTTATCATGTTGTTGAGATGACTCACAGTGATCCACAGAATATGCTGTAAAGTGTAGTCACTGTGTATTTTGTAGGTGAAACGCGGCAGCAAATTGCACACAGAATTGTCCCACAAACAGTCATGGATTAAGTGACTAATTTATTATTTTTTTCTTAAAGGAGATGTGATCTTCCATTGGTTCTGAGAAACCACACCAAAAATTGGTTGACGAATTCGTCCACAAAACAAACACATGGTCACTACACTTTACAGTAAATCCTGTGAAGCACTCTGAGACATCAACCTGATGTGAAAGGAACGATATCAAATTGTGAGGATTATTATGGACTAAATAGCAAATGGCATAATTTGAAACAATGAAATCTCACAATAGTGTCTAACTTGTGGTATTTCTTAATGGATTCCTTAATACAGACTGCCATTAGAATCCCTGCCAACAGAAGTATATCGTGTTGGAACTGTAAGTTCCTGTAAATCATTATGACTACTTTCAATTACTTTAAGGGTTCCCCGCTTGTGTGAATAAATTATTTAGGAATCCCATTAGGAAATATTGCAAATTAGGCCCTATATGTTCCCACAATCCTAAAATGTCATGATATTATTTGCATACAAAAGTGCAACAATAATTTATATGTATATGTATTTATATATGTATTTATAGAGTGTTGTTCACATTGGAGAGGATGTCTCAAAAAGCACTTTGCACAGTTGACTGGGAACCTGACCTGGGTGTTGGCGGGGGGAGGGGCGGGGGTGCAGTGGGCTGGGGAGAAGTGACCAAAACTGTGGCCGAAAAGATAGGCTTTAAGGCAGGCTTTGAAGATGGAGAGGAGAGGCCACGTCAAAGACACTCTGGGATGGGGTTCCAGAGAGAGGGAGCAGAATAGCTGAATACTCACCCACCAATGGTAGGCAGATCGCAAATCACAATATAGCACAAACGCACACTCAGCTCTTCCAGAGCTAAATGTTTGACATTCCTTCCTCAAAGTTCACTGTACCTTTACAGACTTGAACACTTCTGTTTTAGTTGTAGCTGACCTCTACCTCGGTGATTCATTTTTACACTGATAAAATTAGATTGAGTAATATGATCCAAACAACTCA